CCACCAGCCACTCCTTGGAAGGAAGATGGGGCAATCTACTTCTGTAGTGATACTGCCTCAGAAACCCAAGGAGGGGTTGCTATGAGTCGGGTCTGACTCGAGGGCACGTAACAACAACAACAACTGTAAATGGTATTGATTTCCTTATTTCTTTTTCACCAATCTCTTTGCTGGTGTAGAGGAATCCAACTGATTTGTGGATGTTGATCTTGCATCCTGCCACAATGCTAAATCTCTCAGTTAGGTTCCAGTAGGCTTTTGACTGAGTCTCTTGGGTTTTCTAGGTATAGAATCATATCATCAGCAAATAGGGATAGTTTGATTTCTTTCTTACCAATTTGGATGCCATTTATTTCTCTTTCTTGCTTTATGGCCCTGGCTAGGACTTCCAATACAGTGTTGAATAGAAGTGGTAATAAAGGGCATCCTTGTCTGGTTCCTGTTCACAAGGTGAATGATTTCAGTCTCTCTCCATTGAGAATAATATTGACTGTTGGTTTTTCATGTTGTTTTTGTTGTTTGCCATCGAGTCGGACCCGACTCATAGCAACCTCTCCTTGGGTTTCCGAGACAATATCACTACAGAAGTAGATTGTCCAGTCTTCCTTCCAAGGAGTGCCTGGTGGGTTTGAACTGCCAGCCTTCTGATTAGCAGTCAAGTGCTACCAGAGCTCCTTTTGCATAGATGCCCTTTATTATGTTGAGGAATGTTCCATCTATTGCTATTTTGCTGAGAGTTTTGATGAGGAATGGGTGTTAGATTTTATCAAATGCCTTTTCTGCATCGATTGATCTGATCATGTGGTTCTTTTTCTCTGTTTTCTTTGTTTTTCATGTTTTATTCATGTTATTTGTATTCCCTCCCTCTTTCTCTTTGTTAAATTTGCCAGTGGTTTGTTGATTTTATTAATCTTTTCAAAAAACCGACTACTAGTCTTGCTGATTTTTTCTATTGTTTATTTTCTGTTTCATTGATTTCTGGTCAAATCTTTATTATTTCCTTTGTTCTCTGACTAGACTTTTCTTGATGTTCCTTTTTTAATTGTTGGAGATGTTGTTTTAAAGTGTTGATTTGGGCTCTTTCTTCTTTTTTGATATGTGCATTTATCCCTATATATTGGTCTCTGATCACTGCCTTTGCTGTGTCTCAAATATTTTGGTATGTTGTGTTTTCATTCTAATTTGATTGAAACAATTTTAATTTCATTTTTTATTTCTTCTCTTACCCAGTTGTTCTTAAGGAAGGTATTGTTCCGTTTCCATGTTTTGTTTTGTTTTTTTTCCTTTTTTCTGCTGATCTTCCTATTGTTGATCTCTAATTTGATAGCATCGTGATCTGAGAAGAGGCTTTGCAGTATTTCAGTGTTTTTAAATTTGTTAAGGCTTGCTTCATGGCCTAACACATGGTCTATCATGGAGAATGTTCCATGTGCACTGGAAGAGATAGTATATTGTGCTGTTGTTGGGTAAAATGCTTTGTAGATGT